TACTAGCTGGGGAATCCTGGGAGTTGAAGTCCATCAATACTGGCTGGTGGGACTCTGGGAGTTGAAGTCCACCCACCTTAGTTGCTGCGTTTTGAGAAACACCGCTTTAGGATACAAATCTTCTCAATGCTGATTTGACTCCCTGGTTTTTCTTAATGGAGGAAATAGGCATGTTAATCTCTACTTAGCAAAAGCTGCTGTGGGAAAGACAGGTAGCTAATCCCCATGTAACAAGCCTCAGTCACGGCAATAAATCTTGGCAACGCACAACAGCAAAGAACACAACACAAACTACACCCATTGGTTGATCCTACAGGTCGTCCTCGACTTAACAACCACAAACAGAGCCCCAAATTTCCGCTGCTGAGGGAGACAGTTGTTCAGTGAGTTTTCACCCATTTTGTGACCTTTCTTGCCGCCGTTGTTAAATGGCTCACTGCAGTTCTTAAGTGAGTCGCAAGGTTGTTAAGTGAATCCAGCTTTCCTATGGGCTTTGCTCGTCAGAAGGTCGCAAAAGGGGATCATGTGACCCAGAGACATGGCGGCCATCATAAATACAAATCGGTTGCTAAGCAACTGAATTTTGATCCCGTGACCATAGGGATGCTGCAACGGTCGTTAAGTGTGAAAAATGATCACAAGTCACATTTTTCACTGCCGTTGTAACTTCGACTGGTCACTAAGTGAACAGTTATAAGTTGAGGACCACCTGTATATCTTGTATTTCGAGTAAGAGCATAAAGTGGCTGATGGAGGACTCTGTCTTCCATTCCACCCAAACACACACCTCCCTGCCAGGTTTTTAGCAGTAGAATAGAAAAGAATCACAGAGTTGGAAGGGACCTTGGAGGTCTTCTAGTCCAACCCCCTGCTTAGGCAGGAAACTTTACGCCACTTCAGACAAAATGATTATCCAACATCTTCTTAAAAACTTCCAGTGTTGGAGCATTTACCATTTCTGGAGGCAAGTTGTTCCACTAATTAATTGTTCTCACTGTCAGGAAATTTCTTCTTAGCTTCTAGTAGGAAAGGGAGGAAGGAGAAGGAGGGAGGGAGGGAAGGAAGGAAGGAAGCTGGAAGGAAGAAAGATAGGAAAAAGGGACAAAACGGGAGAAGGAGGGAAAGAAGGGAAGGGAGGGAAGGAAGGGAAGGGAAGGGAAGGGAAGGAACCATGGGCAGAGGGAAGGGAGGGAGGGAGAAAAAAGGAAGAAGGAAGGAAAGATGGGAAGGATAAGGGAAGGAAGGAAGGAGAGATGGGAAAGAGAAGGAAAGATGAGAAGGGGAAGGAAGGAAAGAAAAGAAAGAAAGGAAAGAAGGAAGGAAGGAAGGAAGGAAGGAAGGAAGGAAGGAAGGAAGGAAGGAAGGAAGGA